TAATAAATAAATAAATAGATACAGATAAAGTAGTCCCCCGCAGAGGGGGGGGGGAGGAGGGAATATATAAAAAAAAAAAAACATTAACACACTCACAGGGATACTGCAATTGAGTTTGGAGGAGCCGACCATTCGGCATAACAATTGATTAATAATCAGCATTAAATAATAATTAATTAAACTTTAATTAATTCAAACATATTGCTGGAGATATTAAAAATTACCTGAGCTAATAATTCCTACAAAGTGAAACTCCCACAAGCACAGATTTTCCTGCCCCAGAGAGTGTGGATCAAGGTACAGTGATCAACCAATCAGTGAAAATAATGCCTCAACAAGGAATGGCTTCCAGAGCAACGGAGGTCATTTGCTCTTGATAAACATACTGTGTAGGTGTGGGGAGACGAACCAGGAGGATGAGACCAAGCAGGGACAACAGACATAACTCCACCCTACAGCAGCATCTTAGCTGAGGACAGTGGGCCAGCTGGGTGGATGTTGGAGGCATTTCCCCATTGACAGCCCCATCTTAGTGTCTCTGCTGGTTTCTAGTGAAGGTACAATTGGAAAGCCTTCCATATTAGAAAGGTCTTCCTAAGGCAAAAGGACACGGTCCCCGTGCTCAGAGGTACCCTAGTCTGCACAAGTCCATTACAGCACATGCTCATCACAAGATATCCTAAAAGCAGAATCATCTGCACCACTAACCCCACAGGAAAGATGCACGATCAATATACTCATCCTGAATTAAAACTTAACATGGTAAAGCAGCAAACACACAGCTCACATTTAGAAAGCACAACAGTATCGCCATCAGCGAAGAAGGATTTAATTTCATCGATGGCTGGATATTACCTTCACTTAGCCGGTGTACCAAATCCTACTAACAACTTGTGATGAATACCAATTATACATGTACCTGACGAATTGGAATAGAAACATAAAAACATTCTTCAGGGTGTGTTTTGAAAGCCAATATATTGGGCAGTGAGGGAAAACATTACACTATATATTTCTATATAAACTTTCCTATAATCTTAGCAGCAACATTTGAATAGGAGTGAAAAGAAAAGTAAATAAATGGCTAAATAAACAGGGACTTTTTTCTGAAGCCAAGACTGACACCTCAGTGACCCCATATTTGTATTTCACAGTCCTTGTGAAATTAACCTGCAATTGGTGGTCTATTCATTTCAAAGTCACCATCCATCCAGAGTACATTTCTTTATTCTAAAATCTTCTTTAAAGTTTTCCAGGCTAAACCCTTCATGGTCAAGTTTTTGACTCTTTAAGCAAGCTTTGATATTTCAACATATTCCTCATTAAAAGAAATGTGAAAATCTTATCTGCAGACCTTTTATTAAAGCCATTTCACTAGTGACAGGTCAATGCCATACCAAATACGTACTTACACTGGGTTTCAGGCTCGCAGCTAGACAGTAATACTCCTCTGCTTCTTTATTGAGACTTGCTTGTCTGTAAAAGAGAAGAATAAAGTAAATTGCATTTAATAAATTTATGTTATGAAACACACGTTCTGCATGTCTGGCTTTCATAAAGTTGGTAAGTTACAAACAAAAGACAGCCTTCAGAACAGACAGGGGCTGTATTTATTTCCTGGGTCATGACCTTTGACCCAAGGTGGCATGTCAGAATCACCCTAGCCATTTCTCAGGAGAACATCGCCTGTCAAGCTATTCTGTGATTTTCATAGCTGCCTGAAAAAGTGGGAGGAATGGGAGGAAGCAAAGGACAAAAACAACTAATGTTCACATGCCCTGTTAGGCTCTGAGATGCACTAGCAAACACAGCAAAACATTGTGGAAGTGTTCAAAGACACATTTCTCACAGTAAAAATAATGTAGCACCAGCGGGGCACATGTCCCAGCATGCCCCACATGCAGTTGTAATTAGCCCTTGTTGTGTTGTTGTTAATGTTAATGGTTACAATTCCTTATTGTTGCACATGTGTTTACCCGTGTCTTGTGTGTACCCGGTCCAATCCTCATGTGTAATTAGCTTACGTAAATCTCCCACCATGTATGAGTCTTACAGTTCGATGTCTGACAACCTTGTGTTTCCTATGTGTAATTGGTTCGGTGTTCATTGGGTGCCTGATATAGTCCTTTTCAGGACGGCTAATACAGAGCATATTCTCCCCGGAAAGCCAGTCTCCGAGTCTCTTTCTGCTCCCGCGATGCCTCGGTCCGCCTGCCGTCACAATAATTTCAAACACACGACAACCAGAAAAAGGCATAAGTTTTGCAAAAGGATAAAATCTATATGATCTTGGCAGAAGCTACTGGGTTATGCTTGGGTCGTGTACCTGTATCCTCACAGCACTGGCAGCAGATCATCAGACTCAGGAAAAGGCTTCAGATATCAGAGCTCAATTCCAATAAGTCAGGGATGAAGTCTTAGGTGACATGAAAATGACATGGGAACAATATGGAGGTAAAGGAAGGCACAATAATAGAATGTAGGTTGGAGGAAATCTGAAATAAATACTAAGAAAAAAAACTCATCAAACCCAGATGCTGTTATATATGGAAGCCCGTTTCCGCCAGGTAGTAAAAAATATATAAGCCACGGAATCTTGCAATTGCGACTTAGTAAGTCACAATTGCGACTTTATATCTCGCAATTGCGACTTAGTAAGTCACAATTCCGACTTTATATCTCGCAATTCCGACTTTATATCTCGCAATTCCGACTTAGTAAGTCACAATTGCGAGATTCCATGGCTTATATTTTTTTTACTACCTGGCGGAAACGGGCTTCCATAGTTATAGAATATACAGTGGTAAGAAAAAATATGTGAACCTTTTGGTATTTTGTGGTTTTCTGCATTAATTTGCCATAAAATGTGATCTGATCTTCATCTAAGTCTAGGGTTTTGACAAATATAATGTGGGTATAATAATAACACAAAAAAATCCGATATTTCATGTCTTTATTGGGAATTATTGGGAACTATAAAAAAAACTCATTGTGGTAGTAGAAAAAGTAAGTGAACCCTTGAGTTAATGACCTCAAAAAAGCTAACTGGAGTCTTGAGCATATGTAAGCATACCTGGAGTCAGGCCCGGCTCCAGCTCTCAGTAATAGGGTGGGCCAGGAAGATTGTTGGGGGGGGCAATTATTTATATGGGGGGGGGCAATTATTCCTATGTCATATATGTCCTATGACAGCGAATCATGGCTCCTAATTTCCAAGCATGTACACTCTAAAGTTATTTGACATCTTATCCAGTGTGTGCACGTGTGCAGATGCATATGAGTGTAGTTATGTGAGCATGTGTGTATGTTTATATGCATGCATGTGTCTGTGTGTGTGTGTGCACCTGTGTACAGTATGTAGCTTAGGTGTCTGTGTGCATGTATGTATGTGCGTGTGTGTGGATCATCCGCCATCATATATACTTTAAGTAGTACACAACATTTCTACTAAAACAGAATATTTAAGACAGGAAATAAAACTTCTGCACAAAATGCTGCCTAACTTGAGCACTTTATTGGCTACTTTTAAGCTATATTATACACAGAATAGCACTGAACCTTAAACTGAACTGCAAAACACAACTAATACATGACAACTGTTGTACTTGACAAACTAAATGCCATTGAACAGAATAAACCTCTAACAACACAACAGATACAGTAAAAACTGATCAAAGTAAAGGCTCTGAAGCCAATATGAACAAACTAGGACCAAACTGGCAGGAACAAAACTGCATTCACCCAATAAAAGCATGGGCTATCTAACAACAAGCTATGAACCCCATTGCATTATAAGTCACAGAATGTGCAATATATTTAATCAAATCACTGGCTTTTGGCAAACTCTTGCACAAAATCATCCATGGTCAATTGTTGTGTGATTGCTTTTTCATAAGCCAAAATCATCAGGTTTCTCTTTCTCTCGTGGACCATTGAGCGTCGAAAGGGTGTTAGCACTCTTGTGAGGGTAGAAAAAGAGTTCTCACAAGACGTAGTGGAGGTACCGATTACTAAGGCAGACACATACAGCTTATGCAACCGTGGAAATGCATCTTTGAATACCTGCAGGTATTTGCACACATTGGAGCACTCTGCATTTTCAGGCAGATTTTTCAACAGCAATGATTTTGCTACAAGAAGCTCACTGACAGTCTCATTCCTTGAGACACCACTAAGTTCCCAGAAGGGCTGTAATGTATCAACATCAAGAAACAAGTCAGATTTTGGGAGACAGCAGGAAAAGGCTCTCATCAAGTATAAATTCTTCTTTGAAAATCTGCTCTGCATCTCTGACAGTGCCCTGTCTAAAATGCTCAGTAATGGCTTCCTTAGAGTGAAACCACACCCACACGAGGAGGTGCTGTCTAAGTTAGACTGCCCCACTTTGGAGAAAACAGAGTCACCTAAGGGTTTACTCATTGTTCTCTGGTGTTTTGATGGAGGTTCATTGGGGATTTCACCGCAAATTTGGGCCAAGTCAGCATCATTCGCATGAAGACTTTGCAATGCCTCAACTGATGCCTGAATGACCTCACAGGTACTGCACATATCTACATACTATGACTGTAAAATAACATTAGCAGGTTTCAAAATGCCAAGAACATGAACTAAAAACTTGCCAATGACAAAGAACTTGTGCTTATAAAGCTGACATGTAAGCCCTGCTGCTTCTTTGCCCAGATCAACAGAGGCACCCTCATCATCTGCAACTTTTGCCAAGATGTCAAGAATCACCTCTTCATTGTCTACCACACATTTAATCACCTCATAATGACTAGTCCACCGAATTTCTAGTAGCCTCTTGAGGGAGGGGCAGCTGTAATCCTATATGACATAATGGTGTTGAAAAAATGAGTGTAGTGAATCTTCCAAATCAAAAACCTTTTGGCACAGAATTCACTTTTAAGCAGTGAATGTACGGAGTGCATCTGCCCAAGTGTCTTTGGATTTTAGCCTCCACTCATCACTGCTGCACCATCATAAAACTGACTCAAGAAGTTTTCTGCATTAAAGCCTGTATGTGACAGGTGATCAAGAATTTCAGAGGTAATGTACTCAGCATCAAGCTGCTTCAGTTCAAGTAAACCTATCAAATTTTCCTCTGGTATCCCATTGCATACCAACCTCACCATGACTGAAAGGTTTTCTAAATTGCTCCTGTCACTTTTTATGCAGTAGCTTTGTGAATCTGCCTGTGCATATCTGTTCCGGATTTCTTTGATGGCCATTTTGGCAATTGTGTAAATTACTTTATTCAATAGTTTTGGAAGTGTATTTGGCATTTTTTGGAACCCGAGGTGCTATGTTAGCCAGTGTTTTATCTTTTTCAAGTGTATATCTAAATAATTTCACAAACAGACCAGCAGCCAGGCCATTAGAGCATTCCTCATCATTCACATTTTCCTGATCACCAAGTAAGGGAAGTTCATAAACTACAAGAAATTTCACTACCTCTCCAATACTCTTTAAGTAGTATCTGTTTCCAGCAAGAATAAATCTAGGAAATTGCAACCTAGGTGGTTTAATAGGGTAATAAA